GCCTGGCTCTGGGACTAACAAGAACTCCTAACCACTCTTGGTCAGTGTTCAAAAATAGCACCCTGTTCAGCCTTACGAGCCAGTCCCCACCACCTTGGTCAATATCCTTGTCAATGTCACATTCAAGTCCAGTCAAATCCTCGCCAACCCTGCAAAACAAACAACTACTGGCGGAGAACCTCCTACGAATACGGAAAGCTCCTTCAAATCATATCAAGCATCACAGATATGTACCTTGTCTAGGACTTTTCTTCCTCTCTTCTTTCGAACCAATGCTTTATGCGTACAGGGTATAATACCCGCCTTATTCCACTTCTTGGTCTCGAGTCATCCAGCGCCATCGCTCGAATTGCCTTTTTGAGGGTTGGCAAACTGTTGCCTCCAGCCTCGTGTTTGAACGTGGGCCTTGCTGGCAAGGAATTGACTTACACAAGTCTGACTGGCGCAGCACGACAAAAAAATACAGATGGAGAACAAGCTCGGCGCAATTCTCCAGCAACGGATTGCTCGGCCTCATTGATTGCGCAAGATACGCGACGACTCTTGCCACTCTCACAAGTCAATTACTCGCGTTCGTGTCCAGTTTCAGATAATTCGGGCGCGTCTAACAGCATCCCAATCATCATCATCACAAGCTATGGTTCACGATGAAACAATGACATTCGCTCCACCTGGGATGTCCAACCATGAACCGGCCATTACATCTCACCGCTTGGCCTAAGCGCGGATCTAACCAACCTCTTGATATCACACACCACTAAAGCCCAGATATTGAGCTTCATCATTGACTACGCAACACCCGATTCTCGTGGCCGTTAATTATGCTTACTTCAGAAAGCCTCAATCTCGGCTGGTCCTGAACCCACTTTGATTAGGTTTCCACTTCACATGAATTGATGAACTCACATGATTTAGACTCATGCGGTCAGCTACATTAGTCGATTCTCTTGTCTTAGGAAAAAGCAAATAAATCTCAAGATCCTTGTACTGGAGAACGAGACGCAAGTCCACTGACGATGAACTTGATCCACAGAAGCCGAATATAATACTTGCCAACGACACGCAAGACATGGAACACCACAGCGTAATTGGTTTAGTGGTAAAATTCTCCGTTGCCATTCGAGCAGCATCGGGGAGCCCTGGGTTCGATTCCCAGATTACGCATCGCAATGATCCCTCCGATGAGGGAGCAATTCTTTTGCTTCGTGGCATGCAAAACCCTTTTTGCTGTTCTATGGGAAACTTTTTGTACGCAAGAACTGAAAGATGCTGGTCTGTTGAAGAAACAGGTGATCTGACTGCCCCGATATCTTCTCATCAAAGGAGGTCCCCTTACACATCATTCGAACCATCTGATTCGAGGAAGTTTTGTCCCGAGCATATTTCTCAGGTGGAACGAAGAACATGGCTTGCGCATGACCAAGCCTCTTTGAGAATATAACTCATGGATCACCGCTCTTAGAAATCAATATCAGCCGAATTATCGGTGCTGGAGCCTCTCCTGTTGGTGTACTATGGTCAAGTTGAGCAAATCGGTAAGGCACAGAAGCATGAGGCTGGCTGACAAGCCTCGGCGCTATCCTCACAACTTGGAAGTTAGTGAGTGCCTCGGTTCCGATAACTTGGAATCCCCCCTCTATTGAATGCCTTGGCGTCAAGCCGTCTCCGGCAGTGCATCTTAGTTTGATTGACCAACTCTGACCGTTGACCTGGTGGTTGGTTCTCAAGTGCCACTGACAGACTTCCCCGGAAAAAGCTAGTTCTGAGTTCAAGAGCAAGTGTATTTCATAGGCAACTATCAACTCACTTGCGCTCAGGTCTATCGCGCAAAATTGCATACACCCATCGCCCATTCCTTTAGAAACTCTGCTTCTGCTAAATCCTCCTAAGACTAGCAGAGGATTAATCAAACCCGTAACTATGCGCGCCCCTAACCAATAAGGATATATATAAGTACCTTCGTCAAAACAAAAGAGCAAGAGAATAGAGGAGCTAGATCCGCAACGGAGAGCCCAATGATGTTCACTAGATGCCACCTGACAGCTCCATTGGTTCGGACTCCATAGCGCCGACCATACCATCCTCGTCCCGCTCTTCCTCCATCATCTCGATCAGGCTGTCGAGATTCGTGTCCAAGCTCTCGCCCTCCTTCGGATCCAGGCACCTCTTGAGAAGTTTCCTATACTTTTCAATCTTCTCACCCGTGCCCACCATGCTCAGCGCCTCGACATAATCCGTCTCGGCTGTCCTTTGCTCAGCAAGCAATGTACTTAATTGGCGGGCGAGACTCAGCCTCTCTTCGTATGACTCCTCCTGCACGCCTCCATCGCCATTGATGCGGCTGAGTTCGCTGTCCACTGACCGCTGAACATGTAAGCGGTTCTGGTGTGTGATGAGTGACAGCACCTGATGCTTGGCTAGGTTGGCTTCTTGGTTGTTTTTGGACGCCGCTTCTTCTGACTCGAGCTGCCCCTCAGCGTCTGTGATGTTTTGACGGAGGGCATTTAGATCTGCCTGGGTGTTGGCTAAGATTCGCTTCGCCTCTGCCTCTGCTACATCCTTCTCCCGCCATTCCTCTTCGTAGCTCTTAGCTAGATCCTGGAACTTCTCCATAATCAGGGGTGTGATCCGAGACTGAACAGTGTTAGCTGCCGCAGACTGGAAAGCCACCGGGGGGTTCCGGTTCGCCTTCTCGAGCAGTGCATCCTTGAAAGAAGCATGCCGTTGGGATTCAGGGGCAAAAGGAGACGACGATCGTTGAGGTCCTCGTTCTTTCTTCGTCGCGTTCAAGTCCATAATAAGATCCTCTGCCCTGACTCCTTTGTTATTCGTAAGATCCGATGAAGCGTTGCGTCCTAATAGTGCTCTTATGCACTTCCTAGCGTTCCGATGCGCCGCAAGGTGTAGTGCTGTATTTCCGTCGTTATCTTGAACATCCAGCAATCTCTGAAATGCGCTTGGTTCTAGGCCCTCCTGAAGTTTATTGAGAATGTTGTCCAAGTAGTATCGTGAGCATGATGAGTTGAATACTCTGCCGTTCTTCATAACAGCCGCATGATGTATCACTGTACAGCCCATATTGTCACGAGCATCGAATGTTTCGAATAGCTCTTTCATCACGACGGGAAAGCTCTGCTTCTCGTAACAGTTCGTAAAGTTTACTGAGTGCATGAACGGTGTCTCGCCGCGTATGTTTCTGACAGTGGATGATGCGTTAAATCGCTTGAGTTGTTTGACAACATCAACATCTCCCATTGCAGACGCCCAGTGAAGCGCCGTATGATCCTCCGCATCGATCGGCCAGTTCGGTTGAAAGTTGGCGGGTGGATCAGGCTTCACGGCAGGTTGGTCTGTCTTACTGAGGAGGAAGTAGTCGAGAAGCTCGTCGCCGTATAGCGCATGCTGTTGCTCGGTAAGGTCTTGCAGGTTGCTGTCGTCTCTTCTACGTTTCCGTCCTGTGCCTGGCACTTGGGGCATCTCGAAACGTTCGTCTTCGGCCATGTACGATGCTGATGCCACTGTAAGATTATCCGGTGTGTCTTCGTCACCCATTACCGTATCGGGATCATCGTAAATTACGGGCGCAGGAGCTGGAGCTGGAGGTGGATCTGATAACTGTCAGCTGGATCCTAACTGAATCACACTCGACATACTGTTCCATTTCGGTAGCGGAGGCTTAGACTTTGGTCCCTTGGGTTTACTAGTATGCCTGGGAGCAGGAGGTGGGCTCTCCGCACCAGCGACATATTCAAAGATGGGTCGCAATCGATCGAAGACACTGTGCCGCTCTGCTAATGCCTGTCCGCTCTCAAGTGGTATCCAAGTACCTATGTAATGGCGTTAGAAGACAAGCGGCGTGTTTGAGGAGTTGGCGAACCTTGATATTTTCCATAGCCACCTTGTATTTTCTCGTGAACGTCCTTTTGCACATCTCGCTCGAGAATTCTGGTTCGAGCTGGCTTATCGAACCCAGCAGCCTTCAGAATATGTGTCGCATTGATCCAGTTGTCGTGCCTCCTTCGCATCACATGTTCTTTGAGGTCACCACCAAACTGGAATTCGTATACAGGAATCTGAAGGAGAATTGATTAGTAAAGGCATTGTATAGATAGTACTAGTGGGGGATGGTAGTATCAGGGGCAAGCTCCATCAGAGACTTCTGCTGCTCATGACGCCCCATCCTCAAACGAATGTTGTTCAGAAGAATGCACCAATAGAGTCACATAAAAGAGGTCGCAGCGACTGAAAACACTTACACCACTGTATACTGCGCTGTAGACGCCAGGTCCAGAAGCAGCAGCAGCTGCTGCATTAGCATTGGCCTTGACCATGTGGGCGGCTAAGATGAAGCAATTCTGGGACCATGCGTGGTGGTGATGGGACGAGGGCGGAGAGGATTGATCGGGAGGATTAGCAGGGCAAGATAGAACTCGTAACAATCATCAACGGCAAAAGAGAGGCCGAATTGAACGTTGCAAATGGGCTTTGCAGTATCGTCGAAAGCTCTTCCCAAGGTTCAAGTTGCCTAGGTAATATGAGTTCACGTCAAAGACGCGGTCCACGGTTGACGAGACGCGCCTTCACGCGAAGCACTTAAAGTGCTGCTGCCTGAGGCGCTGAAGAGATCCCTCGGACTCACGTGACTTGAGTACTGCCACGGGGCGCCTCCTGAAGCTGGCAGATTGCTAAGTAGCGGGCGAGGCATTGGCCTCGACGGGATTGATTGGCAGGGGTACAACAAACAAATAGACAATACCAACCAACACTCGGAACTTTCTTGAAAGACCCTTTATGGATACGACGAGCTGCAGACGCACTGTGGGTTTCTTTGTTTGTTAGTTAATACGCGAGGCCTCGAGGCTATTACTCGCTGCGAGCTCAGAAGGACCAACACTGGGGAGCTCAGCCGGGACTCGTATGGTAACAACAAAGACGTCGGGAACGATATATTACAGCGACGACATACAACACCCAGGGAGAAATTCTAAAACCGACACGCCATGGCCGACTCTTTACATAATGCGCCTATAGTCCTCGACAACGGATCTGGCACCATTCGAGCTGGTTTCGCAGGCGATGATCTACCAAAATGCTACTTTCCCTCATGGGTTGGTCGACCGAAGCATCTGAGGGTTCTCGCGGGTGCGCTCGAAGGCGAGGTATTCATAGGACAGAAGGCTTCCACGGAATTGAGAGGGCTGCTCAAAATTCGGTATCCCCTCGAGCATGGTATTGTCACCGACTGGGATGATATGGAGAGGATTTGGGAGTATGTTTACGGTGAAGGTTTGAAGACTCTCAGCGAAGAGGTTTGTTGCTCAAGTGCTTAGCCGTGCAATTGTACTGATATCTTGCAGCATCCTGTTTTATTGACGGAACCTCCTTTGAATCCCCGAAGCAATCGCGATACGGCCGCCCAGATCCTCTTTGAGACATTCAACGTCCCCGCACTCCACACATCTATCCAAGCCGTGCTATCACTATACGCCAGTGGTCGAACAACCGGCATTGTTCTCGATTCCGGTGACGGTGTTTCTCATGCTGTGCCTGTTTACGAGGGTTTCGCCATGCCCAGCAGTATTCGCCGAATCGACGTGGCAGGCCGAGACGTGACTGAGTACATGCAGACGTTGCTACGGAAGAGTGGATATATATTTCACACGAGTGCTGAGAAGGAAGTGGTGAGGCTAATCAAGGAGAGCGTCTCTTATGTCGCTCATGATCCACGGAAAGAGGAAAGGGATTGGGTTGGCGTAAAGCCCAACGAGAGCAAGTTTGCCGAATACGTGCTTCCAGACGGCTTCAAGCTCAAGGTGAGATTCTTTGTTCTCTGCTCAATGTTGGGACAAGCTAACGGATTGAAGATTGGTGCGGAACGTTTCAGAGCACCCGAGATTCTCTTTGACCCCGAGATTATCGGCCTCGAATATCCTGGTGTACACCAGATCGTTGTTGATGCTATTAATAGAACAGATCTCGACCTACGAAAATCTCTCTACAGCAACATTGTGCTCTCCGGAGGTAGCACATTGACAAAGGGCTTCGGTGACCGTCTTTTGACAGAGTTGCAAAAACTGGCTGTCAAGGATATGAGGATCAAGATCTTTGCGCCACCAGAGAGAAAGTACTCTACCTGGATCGGAGGCAGTATTCTAGCTGGATTGAGCACATTCCGAAAGGTCAGTGATTTTAACTTGTTTCCTTTCATTACTTTACTAACGTGTGACAGATGTGGGTGAGCATTGACGACTGGCATGAGAACCCCGACATTATCCATACCAAGTTCACGTAAGAATGGCGTATGCGTGTCACCCTTTGACTTCGCACCTTTGTGATGCAGCCATAACGACGAAACAATCGGACATGAACATGCCTGAGCTCATCGACACTGATTCTTTTTCGCCGTCTGGACCTTTATGATCGAGATGACCTTGACCCTTTGTGATCGCAAGCCCTCACAACCCAAACCAACCCCCTTTGAAGCGCTGCTGTTGGTGATAGAGCGATGCAGAAGCCTTGCATGGAATGGAAGATTTAGTGCTGCTTGGTGTGTAGAGACACCAGTGCAGTTGTAGACAACCTTTGCTAGATAGAGGAAGCCTAATGATACCCTGATGTGTTGAGATTGTGTTTAGTTTTGTGAAGTTCTCTCGACCAAAGAGTCGCTGTTTCTGAACATGCTATATACAAGAGGACACAAGAGAACCTAGCACTTCTAGTCCGAGTGATGAAAAGGCTTGGGAGAGTTTATATATCTTAAGATGCCTTGAGATCGGCTTATTCTGGCACCCTGATATTCATTAACGGCAGTGATTTTCTTGCTTCCTGAGTACATATAGATCACGAGGGGTGAGGAGTAGGCGTGATAAGTAATAATGCTTTTATAATAGAAAAGAGCTGCGCTTGGGGGTATATAAATCTTCACCAGAAACAAACATCATACAGGCAAAGCAAGAGTAGAAGGGCAGTTTCATATCGCCCCTCTCAATTGTCAGTGCCAACCGTACATCCGGGGTATAATCGTCAACCCATTTGCTCTGAGGTCCCCGTTATATTTTTTCGCCCAATATCAAATCCCTTCAACGCCAGTCGCTAATTCATATCTTTTCGTACAAACACCCTCGATCATTCTTTTCTTTTTCTTATGTTATGTCTTGTCTGGTCTTGTTGTTCAGTCTCGGCTGAAAGTGCTGCTGACACGAGCCCAAAGCTTCGTCTTGGAGCTCATGGAGCTGCTGTCGCTAGCATCAGAGCCGGCATCGCTATCCTTGCGATGGAAGACGTTGCCGGCGCCGCCAATGCCGACATGTCCAGCAGCCATTTGGTCACGGGCAGCAATGCGGTCGTACTCGTCGTCGAGAGACACAGAGGGCTGCTCGCTTGCGCGGTGGACGTTGCCAGCTCCGCCGATGCCGCTGAAGAAGCGACGAGAAGGGGTAGTAGTGGTTGTGCTGGGGGTCACGACGGTGCGGTTTGACGAGGAGGATGATGTGGTGTCCTTTGAGGCACGAGAGATGTTGCCGTAACCGCCGCGGCCAGAACGTACGAAGACGTTTGTGGAGGGGGAGGGCTCAGTGAGGATGTAGCTGGGCATTGTGGATGTAGTTGTGGTTGTGGGCGTGTAAGTGAGGTGGGTTGCAAGTTGTGATGATTTCTCAGTGTTGAGGATGAGAAGAGGATGCAATTGATTCAATGTCAAGTTGTAGATTGGATTGTCAAGAGTAATAAGTAGAGCTTGAGAAGAGAAAAGAGGTTGTCATGATGGGAAGAGCTTGGGTAGTTATACCACGACTCAAGCTTATTCAAGGGGGCCACAGCATAACCTTACCTTGGCTTGGACACAGCCAAACCAAGCCAAGGCAAGCCAAACAAACACAGCACAACAAACGCAATTGCTGATACTTTTTGAGCTCACCCCACAAATGGACCCATCTTTAGATTTTTTTTTCTCTTCCTTCTCTCTTGTTCCTTCGCTTCTCCCCGCATTTTAGATCGCCATGTCAATACCCGCCACTCCCTGATCCCATAGCCGCCAGACGGACAGGAGACGTGATCACTCAAAGAGTCAGCAACTCCGCCAGTCTAAGAGCCTGAAGGCAAAAAGTCAGAGCTTTTTTCTCGTCTCCTGACATTCTTGGTCAATTGCGCTTTGCAGTTAACGGCAAGCACTGTGCGTGTGATCCAGAGGCCGTTCCTTGCCCAGAGAAATGGCGCTGTCACGCGGTCCCCCCAGATTTTTAACCAAATTGTGTTCCTGGATCGTCGAGAGTTTTTAGTATGTAAAAATTACCCCATCGAAATGCACTCCCCCCGAGCTATTGGCCAATGCAGGGATGCGAGGATCCACGACTAGGACGTCTTTGCGTTAGCGTCATCTTGGAAGACGACGACGTGCTTTGGATATTGGATATGACAACCCAGACCCAGACCCAGTCCCAGTCCCAGTCCCAGTCCAGATAATTCCTTGCAATTTTGCCTTGTGATGTCGTCGTCATGAGGGGAAGCGTAAGTGTCAGTGTAACAGAACACGTTGTCAATGGGACTCTGTAATTGAATGGGGCCTGTTGGTGGTGAGACCTTGAGACTCTCAGCCAGGTCGATCAGAGCGATCAATAGACTCCAAGCCGTGCATCGTGAGTTTGGAATTTGTCTATAGCACAGTTGGCTGTACGGAGTAACAGCTCTCCACTTCAGACGACAAACATGACCTCAGTCTGATGTACAAACACTCAAGGATAGTGACCACATCTTCATTCAACATCTTTAGACAACAGGCTAGCAACGGCCACTCCCGCCCTAGATCTAGGTCGTGTCCCTCAAATCTTAACTCAACAATGGTCTTTCTCATTTTCGAGAGCCAATTCCCATCTTTTACGAGATAGAAACGTTTGATATCCTATCGTCTCACCAACTTGTGCTATGTTCTGACCGAGATCTCGAAGCTCCCCATGTTATCAGATCCGAGCCCTGCTTGGCCCGTCTCTTCCCCAGATCTTGTTCCAAAACGGATATGCTCCATCTGAATAGACTATTCTGCAAGTAAAAATAGACACACCGAGTACGAGAGCAGTCCCATCAACACCGAACTTTCCGGCTTTCCGAGTATTCCGAAAATGTCGCTTATACTGACCGATTTCGAGGTGTTTCGTAAAGTAGAGCGTCTACTTTCATCTCATGCCATTCCATCTTTCGACGTGAAAATGAACGTGATCTATATGTGGCATGTTGTTGCCGTTCCGAATTGGCACTAGATAGTTCCGTATGGTCGGTCATGTGCCAGTTTGTCAAAGCCTCTAGAGATCTTCGAGAAAGAAAGTTTCACCCCACTATTAGCCTCATGACAGTGGTTTCCAACGACAACTGGTATCACACTCGAAGACGCAGTCATCATTCTTTCAAGGCTTCTCCTCGGTGTTAAAAGACCTGTTAAGAGAAACACAGCTTGTCTCAGTCCCATAGTGGCACAACCCCATCACCAATCATACCGTGCCCGAACCATTGACGTTTCAAGGTGACCGTTGAAGCATCAGCTTCCATACCGCCTCCGTTTCATGGCGGTGTTCAAATTGCCGAATATCCAGAAGCGAGATATTCTATGGAGATTATCAGGATCTGCGCGAGCACGGTGCAAAACATACCGACTTTTGTCAAGTTGGCAACAAACTCTATTGTGCTGTGATAACAATTTTCTGAGTATGACGCAGCTTCTCAAATTAGACTTGCGTGGTCACGACGTCAATTAGACCGTGTTGTTGATGTGCTTGTGTCACTCGCTAGTTGTATAGCAAAGTGTCTGGGCCTTTGAACATTAGTAGAATTGTGTGGATGTTCTCACTAGTTGCAGGGCATAGAGTAAATGGTAAAACATTATAACATTTAGAGAATAGATATCCAGCCTACCAGGCTATTTAGGTCAAGTATACTCCATCCAACGCCCCAGAGATCATTTCTTCAAATTCCAAATACAAGGCTGCAAAAGAAGCACAATTGTGCATGCCGGACTTCGTCTTTCGGCATTTTCAGAAATCGAGAAAGATCCTCTATTTGCCCATGCTCATCCAGCCAAAGATGCCGCATGCAAAGGAGAGAACCAAGAAGGTGATGATACCAGCACCAGCCCTGTCTGCAGTGGTCAAGGGCTTGTAGGTCCTATCAATCTTGCCGTCTCCGACATTGCCGGCGTTGGGGTTACCCTTGGAGGTACCTCCAGTCTTGGCCGTGACAGGAGGAGGAGTGTTCTCCATGAGCAGAGACGAAACGGCAGCAAGGACGTTCATCTGCTGGCCGGCACCTGTCTTGCCATCATAGACACCGCTGGCCCACTTAAAGCCACAAGCACGCTTTGTGTCACCTCCAGTACATTGCTTGATGGCAGCTTCGGTTGATGTCTGGAGAACAGGAAGGATCTTTGGCTTGATAAAGGGAGCGAGATGTGTTGCCTGAGACATCCAGCGGTGGACGTAGCCCTTAAATGAGTACATATCGGTGGTGCAGGTGCCGTGGTTCTCGCAGGCAATCTCGACAGCGATATCCTTGGGGAAGAAGTTGCTGATGGTAGCGTCGACCAATTTATCCAAACGTTCCTCCCATTTCTGCGAACCATTGGTCTGAAGAAGTTAGTGGATTGTCATCAGATTCATGCTTAGGCCAACCTACATGGTTGTACATGAAAGCAGCGCCTTGGAGGAAGACGCCAGAGTTATAAGAGAACTGAGCCTTGTTGATATCGGTACAGTTAGTTCCGACATGAGCACCGTCATAAATCTTATAAGTGGTAGGGTCAAGGAAACCGACGCCCTCAATCCAGTCCCAGGTCTTCTCAGCCCAGTCGGAATAAGTCTTGTTGCCAGTGTAGCGAGCAAGTCGGGCACCCAGGTTGAAGAAGCATCCATTAGCAATACCTTTGACAAGTTAGTACAGAATCGAGCGAGGTAAATATCTAAAGAGGAGCGCTGACTGTTTTTGTAATCGTAACCGTTGTTAGTTCGAGGAATTTGCCATCGAAGACCACCGTTGCAAGTGCTATCATGTCGATCGGGATTGGCCTGGGTGTTGAAAACGGCCTGGGCGAGGGCAAGCCATCCAGGCTGGTCTGAAGCAGGGTTGGGGAAGTCCAGCTCGGCAGCCAACATGGCAGACATTCCCCAGAAACCTTGGTCGTCGTTTCCGAGGGACAGAGTAACGTTGGCGGGCTGATAGTCCTGATCATCGCCGACTTGGAACTGCATGCCCTGCATCACCATTTTGTTGTAGGTAGAATCGCCAGTGCACTTCCAGTAATCCATATACGTCCCCCACATAGCACCACCTTCCCACCAGTAGTAGTCACCATTGGGGGGAGGACCAGGTAGAATACCAGGAATACCGCCGGGGTCGTCTCCGTGGTAGTATGTGATCAAGTCAGCGGCGAGTTGCTTGGCTGACTTCTTGATGTCGGCTGTTGCTAAAGTCAATGTCTGTTTACCTCTGAGCCAACCGTTGGAGGGACCGCACCTGTGGATGCAATGCTATAAGGCGACTGGGCGTTAACGAAGCCCGTTGAGGCCAAAAGCGCAACGGCGCCGGCTGAAAAAACGGACTTCATCGTGGGCGAATGCGAGTGAAATGAAGCGAGCGAGATTGAGAGCGAGCGATGCAAATCGACGGGAACGAGCGGTAGACGCGCCCAGTGAGGGCTTGGTCGAAATATCGATAAAGCTGCGAAGTTTATCGAAAAACAGACCGAGCAGTCAAAGAGTGTGAGTCGATCTGACGGATTAAAAGGACAAACGGTCGACGTAAAGTCTGCGATGAATCGATGTTGTTGAAGAAGTCAAAGTGCCAAGGAAAAGAAATGGAAACGGGTGACGGGGGTTAATGCGTGCGTTAGTAGGAATAGGTACTTGCCGCAAGGTAAGGTACATGCAATGCAATTAAAAGGGAGTGAGGAGGGAGGGAGAAACAAGAGGCTCGAACCAATGAGATTGACGGTGGATCGCGAAGAAGGAGGGTGACACGAGCTGTTGAGTGGCTCAAACGGAGTGAGCGAGACCCGGAAAACCGTCACATTAGCGGCGTCAGGTACCTATTTTTGCTGCGATGGGTGGGCGGGCAGCATGATTACGCATTGATACGAAGTAATCAGGGGTTGGGGAATGGTTTGAGCTGATGGATGGTTCGTTCTTATTTTGATCTTGCGCTGCAGCTCCAGCGCAGTTGCTCAACCGTATACGCTCCCTTTACTCTGTAACACGAATACTATATGTCCTCAGTTATTCCATCCAGCAGTCAACAGAGATGACCGACCGTTGTGTTCTGGAAGGTTTACGCCGTTGCAAAGAATGGTCTCCATTACAACCAACGTACGACGCCAGCCCTGGAATCCAGACTTGCCGTGCCTTGCCTGAATGGAGGAGCCCGCCCTGCAAGCTTATTCCGCCCCGATTCACCCATTTCTTTCGCTTTTGCCGAAAACCTAATTGACACTGTTATTTGCCTCTGCTAAATGCTCATCTCCATGCTATTTTCCTCTTCCTTGAGCGCGCTTTTGGTGTCGTTAATGCTTCAAAAACAAAACATGTCGTCGATATCTTTGTTCAATGCCAAGGCGCTTATCGGCACACTTTTCCGATTCGCGACCCAGGGTCTGGTATGCCAAGATGCCCAGATGCCAAGTTTACCTTGTCCCGTTGTCGTTCGCGTGGTCTCCCGTCTCGGCGCCGAGATGATTGCCTTCAGGTAGGGGAGCACGTGATTCGTATTCCCGTTGATCGGGTTTAACAGGCTTCAATTACAGTTGAAACCGTACATATCTAAACATGTGAGCTTGATTTAAGCAATCTACATCCATGCACACCAACGCTCGACCCATCTACTTCTCCATATTCTCCATTTACTTTATCTTGGAGGATCGAGATGGTGGGGAACTGGTCCGAACCAACTCTGCCCTTGAAAACCCCCCAGAAAATGGATGACGGACCCAGTATTCATTCAACAGTGCTGAGATGATCGACTTTGTCGAGATACAGTCGGACCGAGCAGGCTCCTATTAGTGGTGTTTCCTGTAATCTTTTGCCTTTTTTCAGTTGGTAAACATGGCGATCGTGACGAAACATTATGGTATTTTGGCTCCCAAAATCTCCGTTAAACCATACTCCTGCACTTGATGAGTAAATGGGACCTAAGTGACCAATATTTCTCAGGCAGTATCATTATCATAGATAACTATTTGGATATTCGTGTATCGGTGTCTAAACAATCCCAAAGACTCAGAATAGTCAAGACGGCGCAGCCCCTATCGTTGAGCAATTTCTTACGAAGTACAGCATAGATATGAGTTTGATTCCGGGATACTGGATTTCTCGTGTTAAAATGGTATCTTCCTACGATTTCAAGCATGACTTTTCGTTCTACAAATGACTGAGAAAGATGATCTTTGCTTCAGCTCTTGTAACACTGTCGAGTATTTGTCTATTGAATCTTTATGGTCTGAAACGCATCACAATTGAGCGGCCCGAAATCTCACAATAGGTTCTATGAAATACCCAAACATTGATTTGCCATGAAAGCTGGCTCTATTAATTCCAAGCCCAATTTGGTGGCTTACACTTCCTCCAATAGACATATCAGAGCCCGTCACCCGAAAACGTACCTTCGATAGACACCTCCACACGTGGCCCGATATCTGCACTTGAATCGTCTTGAATGAAATAAAGGCGAATATTTTATAAAGTCAATTCTGCCAAGTTCAAGGAATGGTCTCCGTTCCGGCCGCAGCAATGAGAAATAAGCATCGACAAGGGAAATGTCTGTTCAACTCTAACACTCATCATGCCCCTAATCCAAAGCAGTTTAGACACATTCTTGTGGCAACTTCGGTGACAATATCCATACTCAAGTATGAGTCCCGGGCGTATATCTTCTTTTATTCATTTGAAATTTCATACTTGAAATCGAAATCTCGGTGCGGTCTGTGATGATGCTCGATGCAGCCGTTATCCTAGCTGGTGCCTCAAAGCTACCCTCTACCAGCCTCATGATGGGTGATCACTAGTACCATATGTTATCATGAGAACTGACGATGTTAAGCTAGGAGGCTTCGAAGACGCAGTGATGTCGCCATTTGTGCTTGTAGTGGAACCGCTACTGGAGTAAATCCGCTTTAAAGCCGACCTCGATTCAGGAACAAGCTCGGTTCGGCGACACTTTATCCCATCTTGGCTTTGTCCACCAATCAGCGACTGGACCCTGACGACGCTGCTTCAGGGGGATGAGTTTAGTTACAGATAGCTGTCCTTTCTGATTGCGGCTGTCAGCGCAACGAAGCGACGACATCGAGAACTCCCAATTTCGTTCACCAACAAATTCTCGGTCGACTTTCGAACAAACCTCCCAAGACCACTGAAACCGGTTCCAATTGGTTTCCAGTCCTTCGACCGTTATTTCACCAAGGCATGCGGCAATAGGCTCAAACACCTTTGCGCCTTTGCTGTCGATCAAGCGGCTCTCGACCATAATTTGCGACAGGACCGATTTCGCGACGTCGCAACATCGAAACAGCTTTCATTGTATATATTCGACCTAGCGGGACTAGAAGACTTTTGCAAAGATGATGAACGGAATGGAAAAGTCGGATTATGACGAGGATAGGTTTGGTCCTAAGGAGGGAAGTTTGGTCAGCGCTTTCGATGCATTCCGTATGTCTTTCGTTGCTGCTGAGATTACGTGCGCTAACTTTCGACAGCCAAATCGAAGCCGCAATACATCCAACGAACATCGGGAGGTGGAAAATGGACAGTCGCCGTGTCCATCATCTCAATTGTCCTCATCTGGGGCGAACTCGGTCGCTGGTGGCGCGGCGCAGAGTCTCACAACTTCGAGGTCGAGGCTGGTGTTTCGCGAGAGCTTCAGATCAACATGGACATCGTGGTGAAGATGAACTGCGACGATATCCATGTCAATGTCCAGGATGCGTCTGGCGATCATATCCTAGCTGCTAAGCGTCTCAAAGCCGACAGGACACTCTGGAGCCAATGGGTCGACAACAAGGGCATGCACAAGCTCGGGCGGGATAGCCAAGGCCGCGTCAACACTGGGTCTGGATACAATGAGTTGGGATACGAGGATGAGGGTTTCGGCGAGGAGCATGTTCACGATATTGTTGCGCTTGGCAAGAAGAGGGCCAAGTGGGCAAAGACACCCAAGTTCAGGGGCAATGCCGACAGCTGTCGTATCTATGGAAGTTTGGATTTGAACAAGGTTCAGGGTGATTTCCATATTACTGCGCGAGGCCATGGTTATAGGGGTAATGGCGAGCATCTCGACCACAGCAGTAAGTCGGACGACTTGTAGTTCACATCATGTGCTAACCAGGTCCCAGAGTTCAACTTCTCGCACATCATTTCGGAGCTTTCATACGGCCCATTCTACCCGTCGCTGGTCAACCCTCTCGACGGCACCGTCAACACAGCTCCCGGCAACTTCCACAAGTTCCAATACTACCTCTCTGTCGTGCCTACCGTGTACAGCGTCAACTCAAAGTCCATCCTTACCAACCAATATGCCGTCACCGAGCAGAGCAAGGCAGTCGACGAGCGATATATCCCTGGTATTTTCTTCAAGTACGATATCGAGCCAATCCTGTTGACCGTTCACGAGAGCCGCGACGGTATCATCAGCCTGTTGGTCAAGATCATCAACATCATGAGCGGTGTCCTCGTTGCTGGACACTGGGGGTTCACAATCAGTGATTGGATTCACGAGGTGATCGGTCGGCGACGACGCAGCAACGGTGGTGTTGGTGTGTTGGGAACCAAGGAGGGCTTTGATGAGTAGGTGGATTGATGAAGAATACAAGCATGTAGCATACAGCGCTGCTGGAGAGCCAAGCAGAAGCAGTTATGGCTTGGGGTTATATACAACTGATTTATGGAGTTTAGGTTAAAACATGGGTATTCGATTTTAGCATAAGAATTGACAACAGATTTGCATAAAGCAGCAGCCAATATTTGTGAATTTGCCAAGATGTTCTGGTCGACTACCCTGTAAAGCACTCGGCGATAATTCGTCTGCTCGTAGCAAGGATGCATTCTTGAATGTGGCTTGGAGAGCGCAAAGCCAAACGCCTCCTTCTCTACAACAAAGAACCAATCCTTTTCTTGCCCACCCCTGGAGTTAAAGTGCTTTGCCCGATTTCTTATGATGGCCGTATTGAAAACGCCGCCATGCTGATATGGGAAAAGGCAGAAGCATGGAACATTCCAGTCATGAGAACACCACGGAACTACGGAAAAGGCCATCAGACGGAGACCTTTCTCGACGATGGTAGTGCGTGGAATAAGGCTGTCAGCATCTGATTGTGCATGTGGTCTCAACAAGGAGAGTCTGGTGACTCAAACCTCAAGAGACCGCGTAATCAATTGACCTTGGAAGCGGAGCCTGATGACTCTGGAAATGTCTCTCCTGACGATTTGTTCTTTTATTACTTTCTTTTTTTATTACTGTTAATAATGTGATGGACCTGGGCTGAGGTGAGGTGTCTCCGCTGGTAAATAAGGATAAGAACCAAGATGTTGATCGTTGATGGGTCAAGGGTTTAAAGAGGTGGGGTTCTTCCATTAGAAGCCTATGACGACACCAGCGACAGCCCAGTTCGAGTGGAGACAGACTTGGACTGGACTCGTATGTAGCTTGCTCACGATGATGCATGCTCATGCTCGAGCTTATTGATTCGCATGAGATCGACCAAGGTTCACGGTTCGGCACGTCCAGTCTCTACTAAGGTGGTAGGCGAATGGAAAGCTTCATCGCCTCATTCCTTTCATTCCTCGAGCTCTAGGAAATGTCCCTGTCGATGAAGAACTGGGCCTTGGCTTGATTGAGGTGGGCTCTTTAGATCCCGACCGGGATGGAGGGTGACCCCGTGCGAGTTTGGTCTTTCTTTGTCTTTTGACTTTTCAAGTTTGTTGGGTTTATTTAATTGAGACAAGAGACAGGGCGGGATAGGCCTGGATCTGTTCAACTCGAGACGGGCGTTTACATGGACCGTTTCGTGTAACAAGGGTTGAAAGAGACGGGACAAAGAGTGAATTCGACAATTGGGTACTACGATAGATATTGGATGCTTGTTTGCAGTTTAAGTCAATGCATTTGGTGAGGCTCTGTGCCCAACTCGACTGTTTGGACTCGATATTCTTGGTATCATCTGTGGATCTTGGAATCATATTTCGGGCATACACGAACCCTAACAAATGATCAAGAAACTGCCCGAGATAACCCAGAAAATGACCATTCTCCTCTCCCCAAGACTACAGATTCTACCTGAGGTTGCATTGAAGTTGACTCTACTAAAGACCTGATTGGCTTCGGTCTCAGAACGCCCAGCATCAGCCGGGCAGAACAAGAGACCTTCTGCCACCCATCACGATATCTCGCCCAATCCCGTGCCATGCTCTACTGCACAAGCAGCATCATCTTCCATCATAGCCACAGCAGGCAGGCTTTCACTCCCAATCCCTGTCAGAAAAAGCCGTCCACTGAAGTTTAAGGGCTCCACGCACACTCACGCGCTGGAGCCGGGCACTGATGTCCATGCCCATGCCCATGCCCACGCTAACTGCGCCTGGATGAATCAGAATCAAAGCCCAGCCATTCATTCATTCCGGGATGCCCAGTTCCTTTCTTCTCTCTCTCAGCAGGTTCCGTCATAGCTCATCTTGGTTCCTTCCCAGCTTTTTCCCCCTCCACCAAACCACTTGTCTCCCGTCCCCTTCTTTCTCATACAAACATACAAGCAAACAAACATAGATTTCGCTGTTGATTTCTCTTTAGGCGTTTTCTATACTAAGCATTTGGATTTACTTCCATTTTTGATGAAATTCCCTCTTTTGGATCCTCATAACTCTATCGCACAGCCTTATACCCCACTTGTCACACCCCGCGATGGGTGACGTCTACAGAGAGTCTCGAGTCTATCGCGAGAGGGACTGGGAGCGAGAAGATGGCTCTTCAGACGACGAGCGCTATCGCAAAACCACAATCAGACGATACAAGGTCGCACCAAGCAGGTCTGATCGCTTCGAACGGGGTTCCGAATTTGATGATGGACGTTCCCATTTCTCCCGCTATGGTCGCTCTTCTGGCGACTTAGCTGAGCACGACCGACGCTCTTTCGTCCCGGATCGTCCTCGCTCTGCCTTTGAAGGAGCTCCCTCCCATGCTAGTTTTCATGAGGATCGTGGGCGAGACACGGCTCCTCGATCTTACGTTTACGAAAAGGAAACTGAACGAGAGACTTATCCTCCGCCGCCCCCGCCTATGCCAATGCAAGCGCCTTCTCAGGTCGGAGATCGATCTCGTGCGCCAGCTTTCGTAGAGACGAAGGAAGTTGAGCGTGATTGGGACCGACGATCTCGCTTTGACGCTTTGTTCGACGAGGATGTCAAGGTTGAGAACCAAATGGTCAGGACTGAACGCCGAGATAACGGCGAATACCGCGTTGAGAAGCGTGTTGAGGAACACATCGACGACACCCATGGATGCGACGTTGAGCGATACCGCAAGGAGACGGAATACTACACCCCTTACGACCCACCGCCTCCTCCAGCTCCCGTCATCATTCGACAGCGCGCGCCTGAACCACAGAAGATCATTGTTCAAGAAGCTCCTCCTCCGGCTCCAGTCATCGTTTCCCCTCGCCAGCAACAGCAGCCTGGTGTAGTTGTCATTCGTGAGAGAGAGCCTGAAAGACAACAGGTTGTAGTTAGAAGGGAGCATCGAGAGCATCGACACGAGCACCGACATCGCCCTTCGGAGGAGGAGTACTACTATCGCCACGAGCACCGCGACTCCCGTGGAGACCGTGACTACGCCATTGAGCGATATGACCGCAGACGTCGTGATCACGGCTACCACAGTGATGACGATGATTATTACGTCCGACGCAAGGTTATTCGTCGCCGCGAAGGTAGCGAAAGTCCCCACCACAAGCGACACTTGGCTGAAGGCGCTCTTGCTGGTGCGGGTGTCACAGCTCTTCTCAACAGTCGCCGCGACAGCTACGGTGAACTGCCTGAAAACCGTGGCCGCAAGGTCATTGCTGGAGCTGCTCTTGGCGCTCTTGGTACCGAGGCCTTGCGCCGAGCTCGTAGTGCTTATGGCGATCGCTGGCATGGCGACGATGATTCTCCCGACCGCTCCTCTCGACTTAAGCAGGGTCTCGGAATCGCTGCTGTTGCTCTAGCTGCTGCTGGTGCCGCCAAATACTACCAGTCCAATAAGATTGAAAAGGAGGAGGCGATTCGAGGTAGAAGCCGCCGTCGTGGTTATTACTCTGATGACTACTCGCGCTCTCGTTCGCGGTCCATCATTCGAAAAACCACGACGACAAAGAGCACTAGCCGCGGTAGCCGTCGTCGTAGTTTGTCGACGGCAGCCAAGGCAGCTCTGGGAACTGTTGCTGCTGCAGGTATTGCCAAGCACATTCGCAATAGGTCCAAGTCATCGCGCGGCCGCAGCAGCAGTAGGTCGAGCAGCTCGCGCAGCCGCAGCCGATCAAGGAGCCGCAGCAAGTCTAGACTTCGCCGCGGTGCCGAGATCGCTGGTGCCGCTGTAGCAGCCAAGGCTGCGCACCACGTTTGGAAGAAGCGCAAGGAAAAGAAGGATGGCAGTGACAGTAGCAGCGATGATGAGTACTACCGCCGAGGCCCCTCGAGAAGCCGGAGCAGGAGCAGGTCCAAGGCCAGATCCATTCGTTCAGAGCGCGGGACTGATCCTGAGCTAGGCCCCGTAGTTGAATACGGCACCGATCCCCTCGCGACGCAACCGCCAGCCTCAACGTCGCGAGGCTACGAATCCGAAGCGGAGGCAAGACGTCGACGCCGTAGACGACGCGACCGTAGTCGATCCGCGTCGTCTGCGGGATCTGACAATAACCGTAAACGCAGCAGAAGCAGACTCGGGGCCGCCGCAGCCGCAGGAGCTGCAGCCCTTGGCATCAAGGAATACAAGGACAAGAAGGACAGGGAGAAGAGAGAGCAGCGCTCTAGGGAACGACGACTCGAACTTGAACGAGAACGCGAGCGGGAAGATGAGCGAGACCGTCGTGGTCGAGCTACCAGATCTCCTTCGCGAACCCGATCTCGAAGTCGTTCCAGGAAACGTGAGCAGTCCTTGAGTGACCGTGACTGTGTTGACTGACCACTATGAAATAGGATTCGACGACTATGATGATCGTCGCCCTCGCTCACGCTCACCACCCATGGCTTCTGGTGGCGCTGGCTTCCCACCTTATCCTATGGACCCTACTCCTCCACCTGGAAATCCTTACACCAATATTCCGGACCGTTCTGCTGACTTCCAGCCGTACGTTCCTCAAGACTATACGGGCTATCCCCCGCCGCCTCCTGGACCCCCTCGAGGACTTTCCACAGGGCCCGCCAACTATCCACCGCCAGGACCTCCTGGGCCACCACCGCCCCCCCCAGGACCTCCGGGACCTCCACCGGCTGGCGGTCCAAGAGCGCCTGACAATGTGAGTAATCCTGTCCACAACCTTGGCTCAAGAGGCCTTGATGAGGGTGCGTTCGACCGTAATGGGAGGGTTGTTGGCACAGGAGAAGAAATGGAAGCTGACTCTACAACAGATAGTCTAGACTCGTCTGATGAGGGCCAACCGGCCAAGTCGGTAGTGTTTGGCCCTTTGTCACCGAAGAGCTCTATGACCATGAGGCGGCACCGTGAGGAGACAGCAGCCAAAGAAGAAAAGGAGAGACAGGAGCAGGAGGCTCATGACATACTTCAGGGCCTTGTACATGCTAGGCCACGTTCGAAGTCTACTCCTCCTGCTACGGAAATGGATGACTACTTTGGAAGGAGACGCCGTCATCGAGATGATGACTCCAGCTCGGATGAATCTATCGAAGAACTACCTGACCGATTTGACGGACATGGTAGGCCCCTAGATGGAAGATCGAGTAGGAGTCGTGGTTGGACACGCAGACAAGGTGATTTTCAGTATAAACCCAGACATCGGGATGATTGGGACATCAAAGGAGCTTGGCAGGTAGCTGGGACGGATAGTCAAGCTGTGGATCAGCTCGTTCGTGGTGTCACTGGAGCACTTGAAGGCAAAAGCGGATGGCTCGGTCTAATTGGGAATATTCTTGGAGGACTTCAAGAACCGGAACAGCGGGATGCTATTGAAGATGGAGGTCACGAAAGAAGAAGACGCAGAAAGAGACACAGAGACTAACGACTTGACGACTGTGATTGTGGGAACGATTTCTTTGGAAGGATATGATTAATGGTCTGCTTTTCCAGTCGAGCTTTATGATATGATGTTATGACTATTATACATTACGGCCAATATAGAGAAACACGGTTTGATGTCCTTTGATATGATGTCCCCATTCCGTTTATGTGTGTTTGTCTCTAACCTTTCTAAATTGTAACCCTCTATATGCCCTGCGAAAGGTGATGCTTTATAAGAAGACATGATGATGGAGCCGCACTGCAGCTGTATAGCAATGTTGATTGAGTATTGCTTGTGACTGAAGTGTGAGTTTTTGATGAGTTATTTAGAGTGGAGTTTGTAGGAGAGCTGAAGCTCGATCCTTTGTATTACCTCGCTCGAACTGTGACGAATGGTAGATGAGACAGGCGTCTCGTTTTGAAAGTAACGTATGTGTATGCATCTCGCTTGTTTCGCCAGAATCGTCCCCCTCAGTCGTACCAGTAACGTACGTCTTTGGCAGACATTGGGGTAGTATAAACCAATCAAGCAGCGCGAGCAGCATCAGAACCATGCTCGCACATGCAGCTGTATTTAGCGACGTTCAAGACGCCGCCACATTTCCCGCAGAGGATAACATACTTGTCCGTGTGATAGTCCGTGTCTTTTACTGTGACAAGGTCTGAACGGGGAACTTCTATCACGTCTGGAGTCGACGTGATGGGGGTGCTGTCACCAGGAGTGTTTGTGGTGGTTGAGTCTGAACTTGACATGTTCTAAGGAGTGTTCACTGTCATGATTGTTAAGGAGTGAAGAAGAAGAAAAAGGGAAAGGGAAAGAGACGAAAAAGAAGAAAAAGCCGAGATGTGATTGATTGCATTGAGATTTATATAGCTATCTGATGGGCGCTGCTGTTAGGCTGTGATGGCTTCATTTATGGAGAGGTCTAAGCCACATTAGTTAGGACAAGGATGTCGTAGAAGTTTCGCTTAAGCTTCGAGATCTAGTCGGTTGGAGGATTGGTCCCTTTAGGTATGTGATTGAATGATATGAGGTTGTGACTACTGTGAGAGCGTTGGATTGTTCTCGGTGGTTCCTTGTAAGTCGACGTTACATTCTGTGGGGCACATCTTTACCATTGTCAGTAACTGGAGGTTTTGTTCCGGTTCCTGAATCTCACACCAACAGACACTTAAGCATCTTGTAACCGATACTTTAAAACACACTTCCATAACATCTATAATATTCTGAAACATGCCATTGGTATCCTTTCGTATCGACACTAATACACATCATATAGCCCCCCTCTTATAAATCATACAACTAACTCCTCACCCTCGACGCCGATCACCTTTTACTCATTATAACTCGTCTCTAGTGTGCGCTGGCTCTGGTCGCCCGCTGTCTTTATGTAAATCGACGCCGCTCTTGAGTCGCCACTTCTCCCAGAGGCTCCAGAAATCGCTTTCCATGTTGGAGTCCATCTGATCGGGTAGCACGACTGCGTACTCGACGTATAGGTTTCCGAACTCGGTCTTGTGGTATACGCTGTCGCCATCCTCGTGCCAGATGGGCATACCCTCTCCAGCCACAGTCTCGACATGGCCGGGCTGGATGACCTTACCGCGGGGTCGACTTAGCTGCACGACGTGGTTATCGAGATGAGTGAGGTTGCGAGTCCAGCCGCCCATCCAGGCTTCCCGAAGAGAGAGAACCTCGGTCCAGTACAGATCATTACCCTTGCGACGGAAGAATGCGCCATCGGTCTTATCGGGGTTGTTGTCATATGATGGAGCCCTCTCAGATAATGTCACCAGCAAGTCGCCAGGGACCCAATCAGGACTCTCATCAGCTTCATTCTCGTAGACAACGCGGGAGTCGCGAGCAGCTCCACGCTGGACGTTGAGTTGAACAGTCGTCGCCTTCCTCTCCACCCTTTCGCCCTGGCAGACCTTGCACTTGTGCTTGATGTTCTTGCCCCTACCGCCACAAGCATCGCATCTTTGCTGAAACTGTTGAAACATTCCAGGAGCGAGCTGGCGCTTGACGATGCGTACACCATGGCCTCCACACGTATGACAGGTATCGACTTGTCCATCTGCACTTCCAGTGCCTTCGCAGGCTTCACAGATATGTTGCTTCTGCCAGGAGAACTCGGTGGTGGCGCCGTTATAAAAGTCGCGGAGGGAGATTTCGACACGGACTTCGACATTGTGTCCTCGGGGCTCGCTGGATGCTCGTCCGAAGTGGCCATGCCCACCGAAGAAGCGGCTGAAGAGATCGAAGGGATCATGGCCACCACCACCTCCACCTCCTTGGCGGCGCTGTTGAACACCCTCGTGGCCATATTGGTCGTAAACTTTGCGCATTTCCTCATCGCTCAAAACATCGTAGGCTTCGGAAACCTCAACAAACTTATCGTGTGCTGTATCATCGCCACTGGAAAAGGTCAGTATTAGAAATCAAGCAGAGGGTGGATGGAGGGGCATACGGATTCTTGTCTGGATGGAACTTCTTCGACAATTGACGATATGCCTGCTTTAATTCCTTCTTCCCTGCTTGCCTGCTTACACCGAGAACCTGCATAACTGTCAGAACATGCATACTTGTGGCATATGGGAATTGTTGTACCTTGTAATAGTCCTGGGCGCATACAGCTAGCTGGACCAGAGCTAGAAGGACCACGAGGGCCGCTGTATGGAATAACATCTTGTCTCTCTTCCTGCAGATATAAAAAAGAAAAAGAAAAGATTGAAAGAGACTTTATATAAAACAAAATCAAACTTCCGACCTTGAGTGGTAAAGAAGGACAGACCTCGAGATGTTGCGAGGGACTAAGGAGGGTGAGTTGAACTTGATAAAGAACGAACAAAGGAAAGTCGCCTGAACCTCGAAACACCAGCGTGTTATCAAGTGCTACACTTTTTGGGACAGTAGCAAGCTTATCAGTAGACCCCTGTCGAGTGGTCTCTTATCGAGAGTATGTGACTGGCTGTGAGGCTTGACTCACTATCGGATTATGCTTTCTCCGCTGCCTGACATACCTAATGCCACACCCAGCTCTGTACTCGACGGTACAGTTAACTCACAAGAGCAGTCACTTCTGGATATCAGAAGCATCCTCCTGTGGTCGGTCTATAACTCACATGCCAAAGTTTCTAGCATGGTTTTGCAAGCTTAAGAAAATTGCCCTGTTTATTCAGCACTTTACTCGGTCAAATATTTGGCTGGCTGCAACCTCTCAGTTTAGCAGCGATACCTGAATTCGAATACGTTACTTATGAACGTAGTCGTAAATCTATCCTTATTTGAATATGGACACTGGATTTTGATGCTGCACTATAGACTTGGCTCGCTGCCTGTTTTCCAGTGAAAGCTTCAGTCTTTGGCCACAGCCCGGGGCAAACGGAGTATAACTTTTGCTTGAATCATCCTCGAGGAGCAAGAAAACATTATATTGCTTTAACCCAGTAACGACCAATAAATGGGATTCAGGTATTCCAATGCCACAGAAGTATCAACAATAAAGTCTCTGGCTAGACTGAAGTCTCAAATAAACTTGTTCAATAAGGTTACCTTTAGGCTGCAGCATCTCAGGAGCAAGAAAACACAAGACTCTAGTAGAGGATGTCAAAATAAACTCAGTAAAGAATCCCCCAAGCTTAGGCTAAATTGCCTAAGTCTTTTCATCACTTAGGATAAATGTCCTAAAGCTCCAAGTCCCTAGTCTAAGTTAAGTGTAACTCTTAGACTTTTAGACTACTACAATAGACACCTAACGCAACCAACCTTAATGCGATTTTACATATATAAGGAGACTGCCGCCCTGTCTTTGACAGCGATTCAAGCTTTGGGGAGTCACGTGACTTGGTACATACACTACATACAGCCTTTAGTACAGACCCAGACCCACCTATTTCCACCTCAACCTACTCGACACAAACATATCATGAGCGCCAAACGCTATGCCTTCCTCCCTATGGAGGATGAGGCGGAGTCATCGAAGGAGCCCTCGAAAAAAAGGAAGAAGACCGAAGATGCGGCTTCACGGAATAAGGCGGCGCTGCCTGATATTCGAGAGCGATCGCGACAAGAATACCTCAAGAAAAGAGAAGCCGAACGACTTGCTCTCTTGCGGAAGCAGGTTGCTGAGGAGACGGATGAGTTGAGGAGCGGCGTGCGACTTTCGGAGAAGGAGAAGGCCGAATTTGCCAAGAACAGAGAGATCCTGCGCCTGGCCGAAGAACGACTTAATATTGATGACCATCGAGATGGATACTACATGCCTGAGGACTACATCACCGAGAAGGGACGCCTCGATCGTAAGAAGAAGGAAGAGGTACTCTATAAGAAGCACATTGAAAGAGACCAATTCGGACGGGAGAAATTCGTTACTGAGCATGAAGAATGGGAACGGGAACAAACCACAAAGGTGAAAGCGCAAATCCAGCGCGCCGAAAGAGAGAACGATGATTACGACTTTCTTATGGACGAATCACAGTATATTCAGTGGAAATCGGATGCGAGAAAAACCGACGATGGTCGAACATTGACCAAAGAACAACAAGCCCTGAATGCGCGGATCGACGAAGCCGAGAAGAAGGCGCTGTCAATACAGGAGACGCGAAAGAGTTTGCCCATTTACCAATATCGAGACGAGTTTCTCGCTGCACTGGAGAAGTACCAAATTCTTGTCATTGTCGGAGAGACTGGTAGTGGAAAGACGACTCAGCTACCTCAATACCTCCACGAGGCGGGTTATACCAAGAACGGCATGAAAGTGGGATGTACACAACCTCGGCGAGTGGCCGCCATGAGTGTAGCAGCTCGTGTGGCCGATGAAGTAGGCGTCAAAATCGGTAGAGAGGTCGGATACACGATCCGATTCGAGGACTGCACCAGCGACAAGACCATCCTCAAGTATATGACTGATGGAATGTTATTACGAGAAATCATGACAGACCCAGAACTCTCGTCGTATTCAGCGCTGATGATAGACGAAGCTCACGAACGCACAGTACATACTGATATCCTCCTGGCGCTACTCAAGGATCTCTCGAGAGCGCGACCTGATTTGAAGCTGCTGATTTCGTCAGCTACCATGAACGCCGAGAGGTTCGCACAGTATTTCGACGACGCCCCCATCTTCAATATTCCTGGTCGACGATATCCAGTCGACATTTACTATACACCCGCTCCCGAAGCGAATTATCTGACCGCGGCCATCGTAACAACATTCCAGATTCACACAACACAACCCAAGGGTGATATCCTAATTTTCTTGACCGGACAAGACGAGATTGAAGCCGCTGAGCTTGAACTTACCCAGACAGCAAAAAAGCTCGGCAACCGCATTAAGGAACTTGTCATCTGCCCAATTTACGCAAACCTACCGTCCGACTTACAGGCAAAGATCTTCGAACCAACACCAGAAGGAGCTCGCAAGGTCGTATTGGCCACAAACATCGCCGAAACGAGTTTAACCATTGATGGAATTGTCTACGTTATTGATCCTGGTTTTGTCAAGGAAAACGTTTACAACCCCGCCACCCGTTCGTCTAACTTGGTTGTTGTTCCTTGCTCGAGAGCATCTGCAAACCAGCGAAGTGGTCGAGCCGGTCGTGTTGGCCCAGGAAAGTGTTTCCGTCTATACACAAAATTCGCATACATGAACGAAATGGACGAATCAACTACACCAGAAATCCAGCGAACAAACCTGAACGGTGTTGTGCTTCAACTGAAGTCCCTGGGCATCAATGAACTGCTTGATTTCGATTTCATGGATCCTCCGTCTAAAGACTCTCTTATTGGCGCTCTGAATCAGTTATATGCTTTGCAAGCGTTGAATCGTCATGGGGCATTGACCAAAGTTGGCCGTCAAATGGCCGAATTCCCTACAGACCCTTTGCTAGCCAAGGCTGTGTTGGCTGCCGGCAAGGAAGGTTGCGTCGAAGAGGTTCTGTCCATTGTATCGATGCTTGGTGAAGCTTCCACGCTGTTCTTCCGACCCAAGGACAAGAAGATTGAAGCAGACAGCGCCCGAAACCGATTCACCATCAAGGATGGAGGTGACCACGTCACACTCCTCAACATCTGGACCCAATGGGTTGACAGCGGCTTCTCCCCCATCTGGGCGAAGGAGAACTTCCTTCAACAACGGACTCTCACAAGGGCACGTGACGTCCGTGACCAACTGGAAAAGCTATGCGAAAGGGTCGAAGTTGCGTTGTCTTCGTGTGGTGCCTCCAACCTTACCCCCATCAAGCGAGCCATCACATCGGGGTTCTTCGTCAACGCTGCACGGCTGCAGAAGAGCGGCGATGGTTACAGGATGGTCAAGACCAACACATCCATGTGGATACACCCAAGCAGTGTCATGATGTCCGTCGACCCCCCGCCGAAGATGGTTATTTATTTTGAGCTCGTGCAGACGACCAAGGATTATATGCGCAGTGTGATGCCTATCGAACCTAAGTGGTTAGGGGAGTTAGCACCGCATTTTTATAAAAAGGATGATATGGAGGACTTAGTGGCCAAGAAGATGCCGAAACAAAGGACATATAACTAGGATAACTAGGTAATAGGCAGTATTGCGGCCATAACTTTGAGTAACTATGATAAGCTTAGGATTGTATATTCATAACTTTAAGTAGTTATGACAAGCTTAGGATTGCACATCCAGAACTTTGAGTAGCTATGAGAAACTTAGGATTATACATTCATAACTTTGAGTAGCCTTATGACAAGCTTAGGAATGTTGCTCTGACTAATAAACATAATTAGGCAAATCCTCACTAAAGATAGCATCAAGGAGAAGAGCTATAGTAAGGAAATGCATAAGAAGTGGACTGGGATTATCAAGGTGGGAGCATTTGATGATAGCCTGTCAACATTAGAGTCTTGTTACCCATAACTTGTACTAAATTCACTAGATATCCCTTCAATTTTTCCATTCCTCAAGATCGAGGCCCTAAGTCTTCTTGCCTCTCTTAGTTGGCCTCTTCCGTTTCCTCATCAGCCACCCACTCGTAGAGAATGTCTGTCCTCATGGTGTATTTGATCCCCTTGTGCACCGTTGCTCCTTCATGGAAAAGCCCTCTGTGTTGGAAGATGAGAACACTTCCAGTTTTGGGGTTTACATCGACCCTCTTCTCTCCTTTTCTGTCAAGGAATGACGTTGCGCCACCTTCAAGTTCCGAAGCTGGATCATTCTCAACAGAGTCATTGAGGTATAGGTGAACAGTGTAGAAAGTCTCAAACTCTTTGCCTGGGCCTTCGGTATAGTAGAAAGGACCGTCGCAGTGGGCTGAGATACGTTAGCTGTGAATACAAGAGATAGGTGGTCACGCTTACGTTTGAAGAACTGTCCTGGTGAATACTTCAAGAACCTCATCCTCTCGTTAAAGCGACTAAACACCCATTTCCCACCCTTCATATAAGGTTGCGGCGGCACCACAGCCAAGAGTTCCCGCAAACCCTCGGAGAGCATGCAGCGCTCCCATAGGCGATCAACAACTGTCTGCTGATTCCAGATAATCCTATCACTCTCCCTATACCCCGGCGCCGGGGCCTCCCAACCCGGACCGGCGCTTATCAAAGCAGGTCTCCAGGCCGGTGCACTTTCATCAGATTTTGGAACGGACGCTTCCGCTAGAGAGAGAAGCTCTTTGCATTCTTCTGGTGAAAGGACGTTGTCTAGCACGATAGCGGTGTGGCCATCGTACTGAGGAAGGGGAGAGTTTGCAAAGTCGATGGGATGAGTCGCTATTGGGTTTTCAGGCGGAGAAGAGAGGAAAGTATCAGGGATGGGAATGTCGTTTGATGTGTAGTCTACTTTGGTGAGCATGTTCTTGGAAGGGTCGCGTGGCTTGAGGAAGGATTGGGAGGCGGGTTTGGAGGTGAGGCCTAGTTTTGAGGCGAGGTTGGATAACATTTTGTAAGCACTGTAACAGGGGTATCTTGAGAGGATGGGAAATGAAACAAAATAGATTCTACTCTGAGAAAAGAAATACTGATGCCTATTAAGTAGATCTTTCTAAAAAAGGACAGTTTTATGACAAGATATTGGCGGTTTCATTGTTGGTGTTGCTGCCTATGAGCCAGGCTGGGATGGGAGGGAGTGGCTGTGGGGAAATGCAGCCACCACAAGTCCTACGCCAGTGACAGCTAGGCTTTCACCATAAATTAAGGCAGACTAACTTAAGTAGAAGACTGGCTAATACACGGTACCTTGATGTTAGTAGATCACGACAGATTGGTGATGGTGATAGTGATGCTTGGTTGGGCTATGGTTAACTTGGTAGCCTTGAAGGATCACAGCAGACTGGGTCCAGTGTAAATTGGAAGCCTGTAGCCTGTGACAACGGAGTCTGCCAAGGCCAAATGTTTGGTAGACACATTTGACGGATTGTTGGTCACAGCCAGGTCCGTTGAGATACGGATATGTGGCCATTGTTTGGCTCTAGGGTCATATTAGGCATATTCTCGGAGTCATATGTGCTATGAACTGACTGTAAGAACACATCACATCAAAAGACACGCATTGACTGGACATGATGAATATTTCTTGGCGCATTTCCCTCGAGAAGATGTTTGAGCCTAACTTGTATCGCACGAGACACAAATTTATTTTTGTATCATGTGCTTATCCTCTAGGACATTGAGGTGTCTGAGCCTAGGTTGGCATAAGTTGGCCAAACTAAGTCATGTAGAGTGGGCATAAGAGAAAAGCCACAATAGATTCAATCTATCCAAGATCATGTTATGTGGAAATGAGATCCATGCAAATGAACAGTCTGTAAAAAACGTTGTTTATGCGAGCAAAGAGTCTGTGAGTAAGCCCGCGAGGCCAATTATGATACGGTGAGGTGGCATTTTCAGTGTTGAGTACAGCAACAAAGACATTAACAAGTGAGAGGGTCGCTAAGTGGCGATATAGGTAGAGTCATGGAGTGAAAGAGAGGCAACCACACGGGAATAAATTACATGATTTCGGAGCTGAACTGCACTGCTTTCTGCTTATTAACCCAAGCAAGCTTCTAGAAGAGGGCGAAAGCGAAAAAAAGAGATCTTGGCGCTTCTTGGCTCAGATGTTAATTCCCGGCTTGGCCAGACTAGACTATACTTGACCCATGCGGAACATCATGAGAGCCACACAACGTCTCGTGAGTGTTAGCAGCATTGGATAATTATGAGACGAGGTAGACATGGGCAGTGTTGTCATTGAGAAAAGAATTGCGACATTGAAGTTTATATACAAGATGTCAGATGTAAGATGATGTTGGCTGCCTTTGAACATAACATGCCACCGAACCACGAGGTTGGAATCCTTCAGACTATACCTAAGCAGAGATTTTCTGGAAAACTCGGCGACGTAACCCAACTTGTGTATAAGCCGCCAGCCGGCATGATGGGGCCGAGAGTGACCCTCCAAATCGCCGTACTGACTTTGTAGTGGGCTACTTGTAATTTGATGTCCACGTTTCCGTTCAGGGATATCTCAGATATGAATGAGCTTGAGACTATATAGAAATGTTCGAGAACAAGTCGAGAGTATACTGTAATCATATCTTATTGTTACCTATCGTCAACAGGCTGAATTCAGTTACAATGTGGGTTCATGCGACGTTACCACGGAATTTTAGTGCTTAGCCAGATCCAAACTTAGCGACCTTCCCTTAGCGGGTTCAAGTTTGTCACTCTGAAGATCCCATTGACATGGTTCAGCAAGGAAGGGATAGTAATAAAATACCACCCAAATACACTTTGCTCGTACGTAACTGCAACTCTCCTGACATTGGAGAGTGGATTTGCCTCTGAGCACGCAATTCCTCGTGCCTCGTTTTTGCGGATCTCGAAGCCAAGTATATCATCTATCTACCTATTCAAGAGATGAAACTTGTATCTCTATAGATTCCAACTTACATGTCTTACTTACTTTCGCAATTGTGATCAAGACGACAGTCACAATGGACTTCCCACCGGAAAAAGAACATCGGAAGTCTCCTGACGATGACGTCGAGAATCTACCGCACAGCGACGTCCCGCGACCCACGCAACAGGATCTGCTGCAGCGCTCGCTCTCAGCGCGCCAGGTGCAGATGATTGCTATTGGCGGCACCATCGGTACTGGCCTGTTTCTCGGTACTGGAAAGTCCCTTGCCACGGGTGGGCCAGCGTCGATATTGATCGCCTATGCCATCGTGGGCGCTATCGTCTTTACGACCATGTTGGCTTTGGGGGAGATGGCGGCGTTTATACCCGTTGCTGGAAGTTTTTGTACCTTTGCAGGGTGAGTTGTCTTAGTGAGACACTTGTAGGCGGGATCATTGCTAACGAGGTAGACGTTTTGTTGATGATGCGTTTGGCTTTGCTCTCACTTGGAATTACTGGTTCAACGATGCTGTATCCACTGCCTCAGATCTCGTCGCCCTGCAGCTCGTTCTTCAATACTGGACCGACAACTTCCCCGGCTGGGCCCTCAGTCTCATTTTCTGGGTTGTTCTCATCGGCGTCAACATTATTTCCGTCAAAGCATATGGCGAACTCGAGTACTGGCTCAGTCTGCTAAAAGTCATCACCATTGTGGTTTTCATCGTCATGGGAATCGTTGTCAATTGTGGTGGAAATGAGACGGGAGAGTACATCGGCGGAAAAAATTGGCATATCCCTGGTGCACCTTTCGTTGGAGGTATTGGTGGCTTTGCCTCTGTTTTTGTCACGGCTTCTTTTGCTTGTAAGTTGAGATGTGAATCTCTAATGGTATGAGATGAAACTGACTGGCGTAGATGGAGGAACTGAGAGTATTGCCATCACGGCTGGTGAGACCAAGGATCCCACGAGAAACCTCCCCAAAGTCGTCAAGAATGTCTTTTGGCGAATTATCCTCTTCTAGTCAGTCTCATTCACCCACACTCACTTACTCATCTCGCTAACAGAACCAGTCTCCTTTCCATTCTTCTCATCGGCCTCAATGTCCCATACAACTATCCCGATCTCAACTCCAAGGAGACCCGCACTTCTCCTTTCACCATCGTTTTTGAAATGACGGGCGCCAAAGCTGCTGGAAGTGTCATCAACGCCGTTATTCTCACTAGTGTCCTGTCTGCTGGAAACCACGCTCTCTTTGCTGGAGTGAGATTGATGTACACTCTTGCTATCGAGGGTCATGCCCCCAAGGTCCTTGGAAAGCTCAACAGGAACAGAGTACCCTGGGTTGCTGTCCTTGTGACAGGGTTTGTGGCTGGTCTCTGCTTTGGCTCGAGTTTCATCGGAGCGGGCGATTTGTGGAACTGGCTCCAGAAGTAAGTCAAGCATCGACATGTGCGTACATCTTGGGCGCAGCTAACATTCATAGCATCGTCGGTGTGTCGAACCAACTCAGCTGGATCTCCATCGGCATCACTTCAATCCGCTTCCGCCAAGCCCTCGCATTACAAGGCAAAACTCACCTTCTTCCTTTCAAGAACTGGACGTATCCCTACGGACCTTGGATCTGCGTCATTCTCAACAGTTTCCTCGTTCTCGTTCAGGGCTGGAGCTGTTTCAGTCCCAAATTCGACGGTGTCA